GGGGGGGGTGTACTCATAGTCGTGCATGCCGTAGTCGTTAGACCATTGACCTCGCATCCCTACAAAGCCGGGACGGAGCACGCCGGGTTCTCACCGGACCAGGGGGGGGGGGGTTATAGGTTATAGAGAGAAAAAGATAGAGAGAGAAAGAAAGAGTGGGAGAGATATAGAAAAGAAAGAGGGGTTGAGCGTATGGTTCCTTAGAAGAATACGGTGCGTGTGAAAAGCGCTTCCCAACACGCGAGTACGCGAGGTTGATGGCCTCCACCAAAAAAATCGAAAGGGGGGGAAGGGGATATTGTGTCACCCACGGCACCCCTACGGATCACGCATAGTGCACCTGCTTCTCGTTGCGCTGGAACTTTGCCTCGTCCATGGCCACCTCGTAGAGGAAGGGCGAGGCACGCCCATTGGGAAGGGTTCGGGCCACCCGGCGTCCCATGATCGAAGAGCCTGCGGGGCCCTTGTCCTCGAGGCAGTTGACGTAGAACACCCGGGGTATGGTGATGGGGATTACCTGTTTCGCATGGGGGGCAGCGACGATGTTCGAAGAAAGAGAAAGGGAATGACGATTAAGGAAAGGGGCACCCACAGACTGGCTCCAACAGTTTCGATCGTGAGACGCCTTTTCGTCATGCAACAGGCAGTAAGAAATACCGGCGCTAGGACGCCGTCCACGCTGCCTCAGGTTGGGTTCAAGCTGTCTTCACCTGAAGCTCTCCCGGGCCTGTCATAGCGAAGACCGTGAACGACCCCGGGTGATCGCTCGGCCGGATCTCCACCACCTGAACAACGAACAGCCACCGAGAAATAGAAATAAGACAAAGAGGATATGCAGTTAGAGAATCCGAGGGAGGGCAGAGGTTTTGACAAATACGTCGTTCAATGTTTCAAATTTGGTGACAGCTTTCACCCGATTGTTGCACACTTCATAAAAACATATCCATCGTTTATCCCCCTTCATGCTTCCGATGATTGCACACCCCTCTTCACGTTCTACGTTGACGTTCATCCCGGGACCACCATATTTTACCGTATCGTTTTGCTCGGCCATTCCTCCAACATCCGTACTGCGGCGGCTTCCCAAACCATGCAGCGTGTACGATTCGCCACGCAAGTAGTTTCGAAACACTCCACGACTCGACAAATTTCCTACGCGCTGTCCCACGCCTCAACTACACGGGTAACCGTCAACACAACCGCGGCGTTCCACGGAATACACGATGCCGCACCTGCCAGAAGCCACGCAAGAGAGCGTCCTGGGCCGAGGTAAGGTAGCCCTGAAGCCCCGACTTCCCCATGGCCGCCGTCCGCCGCCGCTTCTCCGCCACTCCCGCTGCTCCCAGCCCCGCAGTACCGCCCCGTGCGCCGGCGCTGCCGCTTCCCCTGAACGAGGCCATTGCCTTTGGTACAGGTTGGTCGGGTGACGAGTTTGAGAGAGCAAGAAGATCGTAGGAGTGGGCGCGGGGTGGTGAAGTGAGGTAAGGTCGGAGGAAGTGCAGCTCGAGCAAATAATGGCAAATAAAATGCAATCATGTTTTGTGTGCGCGTTGGTGAAGGCTTGCGAAACGCACCAAGCAAACCAGGCGATACCGACGTTCGTAAGCAGGGAGCAACGTCCGGGACAACAGACAACGAAACACCAGCACCACCGTCATCGCCCGTCGCCTTCACAACAACAACCAAGAGGGAAAACAAACACACATACACACCTGTGACCTCGCCTCCGTCCTCCGCTTGAGCCTGTTCTGCTCCCGACGCTTCTTCCACCCGGCCTTCTGCTGCGCCAACCACCCCTGGAAGTCATCCTCCCTCCGAATCGGGACGACCTCCTCCTCCTCTTCCTCCTCCTGCTCATCCCCCCGGACGTCAGCGTTCTCCTTCCCGGGACTCCCGCCGGGGGCGAGGGCACCGCCGGCGGGGGTCCCGTTGCCGATGCGCTTGGTGACGCGGGCGCGGGCTCCGAGGATGCTGCGCCCCGCCGCGCCGCCGCCGCAACCGCCGCCGGCAACCGTCATGTCTTCGATGTCGGTGGAGGCCGCCGCGGGGGTTGGTTTGGCCTTGGTTGACGCCCCGGCATTGGTGAGCTGTTCGTTTCGGAAGAGAAGTGTGGTGTGGGAGATGGGGGAATCAACATGCTGCTTCGCGAGAGGATTTAGCGGAAAGGGATGGGGGAGGGGCTCCGAAAGCTAGTTTAGGGGAAGAGGGGCTTACCGAGGTGGGGAGAAAATAGATTATGTGATCGTTGGAACGAGGCTTGGTGGGCGGCAACAACGACAACAACAATAATCTGTTCTTTAGGTAGGCCAAGGTCGTTTTTAGACAGCACATCGATCTTCTATCTGGAATGCTGCCATATCCATCGTCTTCAGACACATCGCGACGGACGGCTTCCATCAATCATGAACGAACCTGGGGTGTCCCGGGAGGGGCCGCCTTGAAGAGCTGGTCGATCTTCGTTTGCCGGTACCCATCGTTGATCTCCCTCACGATCTTCCGCAGCCAGTCGGGGTGTTTTACCCGCGGGCAGGGGTTTTCCACCTGTGGATTTTTTTTTTGGGGGGGAGAGGGGGTGAAACAAGCAGGAGAGTAGCACAGACTTGCACAGACCACAGGGAGCACTTATGGCATCAGCCCAGCCCTTATAACCAACGCGGGTTGAGGTTCACGCGTGAACAAAACTCGGTTAAGGACTTCGGGGAGAGGACGATGGTACGGGACGGAAAAGCTTAAGCGGAATGCACATCGGAATCCCCCCTCCTGTTCTACATGGAGACGGGGGTGGTAACGATTCTTCTCTCCCCAATGAGTGCTACGTTCTCAGGAATTTCTCCGGAAATCTCTGAGATCAACATTGCCGACCGACCTAACCCGCCCTGCATCAAGTACGTTTTCTGAGGTGTGCGTGTATCTTTCTGTTTCGGAGACGGCTACCGTTGACGGTGTCCACCTTCTGCATGGCGGCGGGGATGGTGATGATCTTCCGGATACAGTTACCGAGGCGGTCGAGGTAGTAGTCCCAGTCCAGAATAGCGCGGATGTCGAAGTCTTCCATTGCCGGGTCCTTCCACAAAAAAATACAAAAATACCAATAAAAGCGCGGAGGGTGGAGGGTTGGGGGGCAAACTTGGAGAACTTCGAACATTTCCGTTGCCGGTTGGGCTGGGCTCCCAGACAAGCAAACGCTGAGGGGTAGGGGTAGGGTCAATGTAATGATCACAAATGGAATGCATACCTTTGAGCCACTGCTTCTCTACGGGCTCTCCCATACAAATGTTGAGGGTGGGGGCATCATCATCACCATCATCACCACAATAATCAACCTCGTACCTTGAGAAATTTACAGAAGTAGTGACCCTTCGTCGGGCTCTCCCAGACAAAGGGCTCGGTTAGGCCGTTATCATCCTCAACAACACCATCATTAACATCACCACCACCAACACCAATCCCATGCATATCTACCTTCAGCCACTTTCGGAGGTAGTGCTTCTTCACCGCCGGCTCGGCCGAGAAGATGGCCGTCGGCACCGCCCTGTCCGTCACCGGCGCGCCGTGCGGGCGGTTGCTGAGGATCATGCGGCAGTTCAGCCCCTTGTCCTTGACCATCTCGGCTCCCAGGAAGTCCGCCAGGCGTCGCGCGGTTGTCTGGCTCGTACCCTGCGGGGAGAGCAGAAACAAAAGTTGTTTGTGGGGAGAGCGGAGAAGTTTCTGTTGTTGTTGTTGTTGTTGTTGTTGTTGTTGTTGTTGTTGTTGTTGTTGTTGTTGTTGTTGTTGTTGTTGTTGTTGTTGTTGTTGTTGTTGTCGCACTAAAAACCGTCCGGCCTCCGCACCAACCGACGAGGACGCCTTCTTCCGAAAGCAAACCCCAACCGCCCAAAGAGGGTAAACGTTTCCAGAAAAGGGAACAAACAAAGGACCAAGAAAAATCCTGCAAACGCGATCACAAGCCAAGCACACTCCCCCCCCCCCCCCCCCCCCCCCCCCCCCCCCCCCCCCCCCCCCCCCCC